GGGGGGGGGGGGGGGGTGAACAATTTAGGTCCGAAACAGAAAGATCCCTTGTAACTTGCAAAAAAAGACCCCTAGGTAAGGTAGTCACGGCATCATGTGAATTCCTCAGAGATGTATGCAGTTCTATCATGTAGTGGTGCCGAAGATCAATGTCGGAGAGAGGTCGCGTTAGAGGGCTGCTGGGCACTTGCATGTCACCATGGCCACTGACCCTTGCGACAGCAAAGGGTGAGGCCTCGGGTCGGTAGCTGAAGGTCTCAGAGTCATATAGAATTATGGCAGCTGAAAGTCTCACTCTGATGTTCTTGGGAAGAGTATTGGGTCTCATTTGTTGAGGTCCTTTGCTTGGTTCGATCTGTCGGGGTTAAGGAAATAGAAGCAAGGCTTCGCCATACTTAGCATGGATCCTGGGTTTTCAGATCGCATCAACCATTGTAACACGTCGAACCTGAGTCTGTTGCACGAAGAGAGCACTCAAGTCCGGCCCGGTCCGGCCGGGCTCCTTTCCACAAGAACGTTGTCCTGAGGTCTAGTGACTCTAGTGCAATCCCCAGCACAGAGCTCAACCCTGAAACGCGCCTTCAACGAGGAGTGGCGATGACTGGCCTCTGCGCGCTCGGATTCGTGAGACTGGGGCAAACGCCACGTCTCAGAGATTCGCTTCTAGGTAAGAATCTATCATACCCTGATAGGCTCAAACCTGGGCCGCAGAAGGCAACGTCCTTTTCTTCGCCTTTCAAGCGCCAAAACCAGAAAATGTAGTGCTGAGAGTTCTGCAGCGCACTAGATCGGAAGTCTCCAGGTTTCCGTGCCGTTACGGCAGGTCTTCAGCTTAGGTTTGGGGCTCTTGGGGGGGGGGGGGGACGTGATAGTACTCTGTCGCTGCTTCCCGCCAGCCCGGCTCATGAAAGTCAGCACACAACGGAGGCTTTGCAGAACCTTCCGGGCTGATGTGAGAATTGGGCTTGGACGTATGAGAAAAAAAAAAGGGCTACAAGGGTTTATAGAGCCGCGAAACACAGCTCGAGGCATGAGTTAGAAGCACCAGCTCTCGGGCCGGTTATGGCTTCGTCGCAGGCTCTTCACTAAGCTCTGGGCGTGTCACTTGCAGGGTCTGCTTCTTCGGTGTTCGGCATGTTGCTCAGAGCGAAATGAGGCTTCGCAGAGCTAATTCAGGCTTTGGGGGTTTCAAGGGGTTTGGCCTCTCACCCTGTGTGACTCCCTGATGTCGTGGTCATGCTGTGCTCCTGAATGTCCGGTTCGCCCCCTGCAACCTAAGCACGCAGACCCTTAAACCCCAAACGCAGCCCCGTACATCAACACCCTGCAGCCTGAGAACTGGACTTGCAGCCACGAGTCCAAGTTTTCCGACCGATGTCAATAGATCCTTAAGAAGGACATGAGGCGTGATGCGCAGCCTATCTCTGGCCTAGCAATCCTGAAGAAGCTTTACAGACAGGCCGCGGCAGACATGGTTTCGTCACCAGATGAGTCTTCCCAGTGTACGGGCATGAAGAATTCGCAATAGTGTTCCGGGTACGATTCCCGGCTGTATCTATTGACTATAGTGGTATAGAACTCTTTAAATCCCTACTCTAATCGCTCAGGCTTCTCCATTATACTTGCAGGACTTACAGTGCCGGCATGCGGACATCCGGTAAGCTGTCGCCAGGATGCGCTCGCGGAAGAGAAGGAGGCAGAAGTGCCGCCACAGTTAGCCTGTAAACGTAGGATTGATACTGCAGGTGTGGGTGGTTCTTGCTGGACCTCCTCGTGTGTCACTTCCGGTAAAGTTCGCGCTGTTTTGGGGTTGCAGGGTCCAGACTCTGAGCAGGTTTAGGGCCAAGCCTCTGCGCTCGATCAAAGCAGTTGCCCCATGATTTGTCACACAAGCCGGAAGCATTGTGGGAATGTTGCAAACGTCCGGGCCACAGCGATGACGTTCTTCTCCCGTACAGCATCGGGAAAACAATGCACGGAGACTTGTGGAGATGTCCGTAGCAATGGTTCCTGAGTCCCATGATCTTCTGGTGGCACATGTGTTGCCGAAGGACTACAGGGCTTTGGGATTGCAATCAACATTCACAAGAGGGGTCACCAGCAACCTGTGCCAACCGCGAAAGCATCGCAAGGCCGCGCCCCACCAAAGACGGGATGCTAGAAGTCATCCATGCCACCCACAGAAATATCAACTCCTCCAACCACGCCAGCCATCTCCACATCAGAGGCCCTGGTGCCAAGCAGTTTCTTGGGTGGCCCGGTACCCGTCTATGGCCTGGAGCGAGAGCATTTGGCCCCGCGGCTGCAACGAGTGGCTGAGGTAGAGGTCTTCAGAAGGATGCTAAATGACAAAAACGTGCCGGGCCTGGGGTTTATATTCGCCTTTGGGTTCCCAATAAGGTGCAGGAAAGGCTCTGCAAAACCTGGCAAAATTATTCAGGCTCTATATTTGACAGGGATGCAAGGCGAAGCAGCAGCAAGCATGACAGGCTTGTGAGATTCGGCCTATCCACCTAGCTACTGTCGCAAGTGAGTGCGAGGTGAGCATCGCGCTTGAGAGTGTTGTAGCGTTCAAAGTCTATGCGATCCGTCTGATTTCATTGGATTGCAAAAAAACGTCCAACACAGTTGAGACGTAGGTGTGGTGCCATGCTATACAGAGACACCACTTCGTAAGTCGGGGGCCGGAAGTGGGGGAGTTTGCGTCTCCGCGCTGTGTCTCTGCGCTGTGCCCTTACTCGCAGGAAGAGGATCTCTCCAATCCGCTGTACCGCCCCTTGCCGAAGGAGGAGGACGAGGACGCACACGCAAGCCAAGCCAGAAATCGCTGGGTCTTTCTCTACGCTTTCGGCCCTCAACGATCGGTTGGTGTTGATTGCTCCCCTTCTACGCGTGCTCTAATTACAATGTACCCCCAAACCCTATTCTGATTGTCAAGTCCCCCATGCTGGTTGGAGGACTTGCATTGATATGGCCTTTGGCCCTTTGAATCAGATTGTGCGGGAGTAGGTGAAGCCAGCCAGGAGTGGAAGCTGCTCGTGAGGCACGCTTGCAAAGCTTCTTTGCGGCTGTGCGGTCTTCTGTCTTTGTGTTATCGTCTTTTTGTCGCATTCCGTCTGAGCCGCAAGCGCCTAGCTCAACCTGTCGCTCCAATTCCATCCTACTTGGAGGGATCGGTTGAGCTATACCTTACAAGTGACGTGAGCTCTGCAGATAAGGATACGGGTTGAGGCAGTCTTGCGGCAAACTGCAACAACCCGACCTGTGGATTTTTTCGTGCTAGAGCAACAGGGGCTAAACGTAACGGTCACGGCAGTATATCCAATCACACAGGCAAGCCAGCAAAGGATGCCCAAGCATCAATACGTACTCGCACATACGAAGATAGTGCTGCGAAGGCCAAGTCTTCCGGCTTTACACCTGCTTTCTGCCCTTTGGGAGGGCGGGCTGCTTGTTATCGGATCGCTGAAGAACTCAAGAGCAAGTTCCGATCGAGTTCAAGTTCCCTGTGTTAGATACATGTATCTTTCCATGGGGAAACAGATGACAAGGTGACAGGGCAACATACAAGCAGGAACTCCACTGTGGACAGGGATGCGTTCGAACCGCTTCGTTGTTATTTGATCAGGTGTGGTGGCGCCGGAGAGGTCGAGGGCCCCGGCAGGGGTTTCGGCAGGGTGACAGAATGGTTCGATTGTTGAGTGTTCGCTCTTTCTCTCTCTCTCTCTCGAGTCTCTCTCTCTGTCTCTCGCTCTCCGCCTTCTGGGAATCGAGTAGGTAGGCTGCTGGTTGGGATGTGAGGTTGCGGACACAGCGGAGGAGCAACAGGCCAGTGATTTGTCATGTTTTGGCCTGAAATGCGCGTCACATTGGATGCTGGCGAACCGAACAAGACATCCGAAGCGCTCCTACCAGTTCAGGGGTTAGTGAGCGGGCTGGCATCCCAGATCAAGACTTTTTTTTGTTCAGTAGGGGGCCTGCTTGAAGCCATGCAGGAGGAGCTGCGTGGCAGAGACTTGCCCCGGCAGGGTCAGCTACACAGGAGGACAAAGAACAGTGCCTCATGATGCAAGGCATCCATCGAGGCCTCCAGATCCAGGTGCTGGGCGGTGTCGATGACGGCTCGGACTCCTCAGAGCAATGGCAGAGAGATCGCGGAAAGTCAGATCGACAGACACGAGGACTCTCCGGACCTGGGTGCGCGGCAAGCTCTTCTAGCCTTGCCAGAGCGGACGGTCGCAGCCACAAGCGAACAGCTTGGTGTGGCTGTTGTGGCCGTGAAGGCCGTGGCCGATGCAGCCGAAGAGGGGGGAGAAGAGCCTCGGGTCTCGAAGCGGAGCCTCAGGTCACGGCTGTAATGCCGATGCCGTTGATCGCTGTGCCGCGGCAGCTGCGAGTCTTGCGGCGGACATAGTCGCCCAAGTGTATCCTAAACCCCCGGAACAGCCCGAAATGAGAAACTCAACGTGCGTAGTATTCGGAAAATATGCATGAAATCCGAAACACCTTAATTTTGAAAAGAACTGAACACCTGCATGAATCCGAATCCTGTGAAGCTTGAAGCCCATAAATGCACTTCAACATCGAACCCGAACCCTTAAACAAGAACCTGTGCAAAGACCGAAGAGCTTCACAGAAGAAACAATCGTTATCTGGGTCTTAAGGTGGGATAGAGGCCTTGCCGAACGACACCAAGCAGGGAGCTCCAGTCCAAAGACAGCTCCTTCGTTCCAAACCCGTCCAGGCTAAGGGAGCCTGTCGGCCTGGCAAGTGTCTGAGCTGTTCAACGCAAGAACGTGTCACCCAAGGAACCCTAAATGCGCCTTTGGCAGAGACTTGCTCAAACCCTGTGACAAGAGTGCTGCTTTGACTTTGGGGCCCTGTTGTGAGGCGAAGAACCCAGAACCGCAGGGCCAACCTTTGCGAAAGCTGGCGTGCAGGAACGCTACTTCACCGAGAATCCCATGTCGCCTGAGATCGGCCCTCAGCAATGGGGACTAGCGTTTAGTTTGTTCAGGTTTTCATACATTAACCCAAAAGCCTGAGAATGACCGAGGTCGGCCAATTCGGCTATGTTGTAAGAGTCTGTCGAAGTTCTGTAGGATATGATGTGATATCATGTCATGCTTGCATGGCTACGTCTTATGGAAGTTCATGTATAGGTTCGTCGCTGACCCTTTCCCCAAATCTGGATCTGAGCAATCGAGACTCGAATCCCGGGTGCCTGAGGCTGGTTTGGAGTGACTATGTAGGTACCTAGGGTCCGCTGGGGATGATGCTGTCCCCCGAGGACGCATCCAGGGCGCGATGAGTATATGGACGTAAAGCCGGATGTCCAGATCTCGGAGAAGTTGACGCTTGTGAAAGCCTGCATTTTGTAGTATGGGTTTCCGCTGAGTCAGTTTAGGTTTGGACTTGCTACCACGGAAGGGTCCTGGTATGTCAGTCTCATCGGGAACCATCCTGGCTGTTGTGCGAGCAACACCAGAGAGGCACCTTTGTACCATCCACTTTTCTGGAGAGCATGATTCGTGGGTAAGCCCCCTTCTTTCGGTTTTGTTGTCAGGATGTGTTGGCAGAGCAATGCTTTTGCTGCCGAGATAGTGATCACCTGCAGCATCGACTACCTCATACGCACCTGGGACGTGCCTCGGCCAAGACTCCATGGAGTATCGGAGCGTTGGGAGTCAGCGTATGTGTTTGTTGCAGTGGACAGATCTTCGATAAAGCCGATTCTCTGCTGCGAAGCCTCAAACCGTTGAACACCTAAACCGGATGCTCGTGGAGGCTGTAGGATTGCAGTCCTGGGCTTTCGCTGAGCCCTTGACCATCAATGTCCATGAGGCCAGCAACGACTTCAAGCCACTGCAGGCAGGGTGCGTCGTCGGAGAGCCCAGCCTACACTTAAGTCAAAGAAGCGACCTAGAGTAGGGATTCCTCTGTACAAATTATAGCGAGGTTAGACACGAGGTCACTCCAGAATTTAGACAAGTAGCGACTGACGAGGCCAAAAAGCAAAACACTAATTTCGAGTTCCGAAGGGCTCAGCCCGGTACGCAGTAGCAAAAGATAAATTAGGCCTGGAGTTGGGGCTGGGGCGGGGCGAACCTGCCACTGAAATCGTGCGAATTAGTCGCTAATTTGGCCAAAGCGGTGGGGGATGGGGCTGGCACCCGAATCGTGCGAAGTAGACTCCAATTTGCTCAAATCCTTCAACGAGGCCCCGAGGTGTTGTGGGGGTACTCAAACCCTTGACTAGGTAACCCCCCAAAATTAACGAAATTAGTTTGCGAGTTAAAGCATGAAATTAGGTCACTGCCGTGAAATTGCTGAAGTTATTATTAATGTGTACAGATTCTTTGCATGATTAAAGTATGCTCCTCGATGTGTATTGGACGCTCTCGCTGCATCTCAACAGGAGTCTTCGTGCAATCCTAAGACCCGGGTTTAGGGTATAGTATTTAGGCTCACGGGTGAGGGCAAGGAAGCTTCTGCCAAGGCAGACTGCAGAAGTGCAAATGCCTTCTCATATACAGTTCTGCAATTTGTTTCCTAAAGCCACATCTTAGAATCTTGAAGCTTGCAGCTTAGCTCACGCAGCCCCGTGGCAGGAGTTTGAAGGGCATTTGAACTTCGTGAACCAAGTCGTGCCTTATCGCGAGGACCGCCTGGTCCGTCTTAACTCAGGTGGCCCTGAGTCCTTAAAGACCGAAGTATGTGTTGGTGAGCATGCACCAGAAGCCTCACCATCTGAAACGAGTTTCCTTGCGATGCACTTCGTTCGGCCACCGTGCTTGATTTGCTGAAGTCGTGCAGACGTCCGGAGATCAAAAGGACATGTGCGTATGCAGTATGCAGGACCAAATCCTGTCGTGCAGTGACGACTACACCTGCCGTCTGTGGAAGATTGCTGTGAGCGCCTCAGTGAGGCTCCAAAAATGTGAGCACTAAAGAAGTCTTGGCTGTTGGCATTCGTGCGAGTTTCGTTTAGGTTGCTAGTCGGCCTGATGTGTTGATCCTACAGCCAAGCCTAATGAGGGTTTCATAGATAAGGGATGCTTGTCTTTGGTCGTGATAAGAAAGCTTCACACAGTTTGAGGGCCCCTCATTTTCTGAAGCTCCGATCTTGTCTTGGAGAAGGTCTGGAACTCCAAGGAGCTTCCAGCTGAAGCGGATGCAGAGGAACAGAGCCTGGGAAGAGTCTGGATGTCAGCCTTCTGTGCACCTGTCTGTCTCGGCTCCTTGAGGACAAATAAAGGGCCGCATAGCGAGATTGCAATGTATACGATATGTGTATATAGAGTATAAAGATGTACAGACATCTATCTTCTCAATATGCATGTATACATGGACGATGCAGGCATGTTACTACAAGTCCGGTCAGGAGCGGATCCCCTCCGGCGAGCTTCTCTTCACGTGGCCTAGCTCAAATTCAATGCCACTGGATAGGGAACTTCGTCTAAACATCCTAAGGAGATGCTAAACCCTGAACTTGGTCGTTGGTTTGTCGGGCGTAAGTCGACTTGAAACTTAACTGCTGTAGATCTTTTCTTGAGTCCCATCATAAGGAAACGAGGTAGCCGAAGAAATGCACCACAGTTAAGGGTCGGGACAGGGGAAGTGGTGTTCTTCATCTCTCCCTTCGGGCAAGAGGCCAGAACTGCGGCATCTTGCGGTGTCATCTAGTTTGATACGGATTCCTGTCAGACTAGGTATTCATGAAATCAACTGTTTTCAGGGATATTCCTGAAATCCTCTGCAGTTGTAGCGAGGAACGCATTTTGCTCCATCTCCCGACGGTGCCGCATCTTGTCCATCACTCCGCTCGGCCACTTTGCCTCAGTCGGTTCCTTCCGGAGTCCAGTCTCACAGACCTCGTACATGTTGAACCTTATTACAAACCCTTATGGCGTTATGGTAACCCTCAAAGAGCTCGTTTTCAGCGATGAATCACTGAATCTTGTAGATCTTGTAGGATGTTGTCTATCAGATCATGTGTTCCCAGCTTCGTGCTCTTCGTCTGAACACCCAGCCTGCAACGCCGAGCCCCCGGAACCCACAAGCCAAGGACTCCGTGTCCCCTCGCTTTTAACTAAAGCTGGCTCTGAAAGGTACTGGATCAATATGTTCCCTATGAAGGTGCCCCGCAGAAACCATGCGATATCAGGAGTTCCAGTGTCAGGTAATTTTCGTTTGAAGGGCAGATTGTTTTCTGGTTTGCAACAAGCCAGTGCGCATCGTCTGCACGTGTAGCCCCTCCTGACGGTAGCCTAAAAGGGTAAGGTTTTCCGATAATGGGCCAGGAACGGGCTTGCAAGTTTTCTGTCGACGAATAATCAACTCCAGTCGCATATGTTCGTGATGAGCTTATGACCAAGAGAGAGCAAGTTCTGGGCCGACTTGGAGTTACCAGGCAGTTTGTGCGTTACCTGGGCAGCGGGCTGCAGTTGGTGGGCTGGACAAGACTGTCAGGACCCGGGGCCGAAATGCACGCGACATCAAATACCGAAACCGAAACCCGTAACCCCAAACCCCAAAGGGATTCGTCGAGTTCCGGTCCTGCTGCGCTTCCCGGGCCGAATCGAAGCCCTACAGACGGGGTTTCCGGTTTGGGGTTTAGGGGTTTAGGGGGTTTAGTTCATACCAAATTCCAAAACCTAGGCCGTAAACTCCAACCCTAGAAGCCTAAACTCCTAAACCTACATGATCGTATCCGATATCCAAGCGCCACAAAGCCATGAATCTTGCCGTGAGCCCGGAGGATCTTCAGCCTGGTGACGGGCTGCACGCTCTTCAGGCTCGGGGACTAGGATCGGACTTTACTATTAACTTTACTTGGGGAAGGGGGGGTGGGGCATGGGGGTGGCGGGGGGAAGGCTGATTTCGTTCTGGCGCCGCCAACTTTGTCTGAAAAATGGGCTTTGAAGCCACGCCTGCCAGCAAAAGTCAAGACAGTGCTCGGGCATGGGAAGCCAGGATTATAAGGAAGGAAAAAATTGGCCACTGTGCTGACAGGATGACGGGCCACCGCGACGCCGGCCCTGAAAGGACGCATTCCGGGTGCCCAGGGTTTAGGGCTTGGTGGTTTATCGGTTTTTTTTTTGCATCCTGAGCCAAAGAGATCAGAGTGATCCACATTGCACATCTGGGGTAAGCTCTGCACAGGACACGCAAACCGCCCAGAAATGCTGCGGAACAATGCTTTGTTCCACTGCACTTTACAATTTACAAGGAGTTTCCGAGATCGGGGCAGTATGCTCATCCCAGGCCAAAAAGCATCGGAAGATGGATCTGACAACCGAAAGCCTTCCCCCAAGGTCACCTGAGAACCGAAGGCCCCAAACGATCTCCTGAGTCTTGAGCCCTTATAAATTCAAATCCTAATCCGGCCACTGGTAGACCTCAAACATGAAACCTCGAAGCGCCTCCTCCAAAAGCCCAGGCTTAGAGAATTTTGTTCAAGGTCGGTAACGTTCGCCCAGCCATCAGACCTTTTCGCAAGTGAGACTGTTGCTCAAGGTTTCCTAGTACAGCACCAGTAAAATCTTGGTCGGACTATTTAGGGCTTAAGTTTAGATGTTTTCGATATACAGCGGTACCAACAGAGTGCTCGTAGCGAAGGAGCTTCTTCCAACTCGAGGGCTGCGGAGCGATTTGGTGCTTCCTACACCTCAGGCGGGGGTTTAAGGGTATTGTCGTTTTATTTTGTTGTTGGGAGGTAAGGCAGGGGCTTGGAGTGCATTTAGGCTTCCCCAGTTGAAAAGTTTCAGGTCCAGAGACGGGGTGTGGAATAAGGTTTCATAATCGGTTTTTAGGAAGTGTCGAGTGTCAGCATGTGGAGAGTGTGACTTTCTCGTGTTTCGGAGTTAAAACTTAGGGTACCTGCAGCTTGCAGAGCCACCTTGCGCATGGAGCCGGGAGTTTGCACCCCCAAGGCGCGTGATGTGTGCGCTGCGCTGATGTAATCTCGGGCATTGAATACTGTCGCTTCATACGTATACTGTAAGATACACCAAAAACCCTGTTGTACTTCTTCAGCCCCCGCGACTGTAAATTGTGGTACATTTCGATAAAGGCCTTTGCTTGTTGGGGTTTAGCGCTTAGAGTTTAGGCAATTGAAAGTGTTCAACGAGTGTTTCTGCCCATGGAAAGGGACAACTTGATTGTCTCGGGCTCAGACGATGCCACCGTGCGCTGTTGGGACATCGACGCTCGGGCCAAAAGAATAGTGAAGGCTTCAGCTGCTGTGTGGCAATGAACCTGTACTGTCCGAAGCTGTTTGCCGCACGGGGGGTGTCAGTTCGCCCCCTGACTTTCATGCCTTCGAATTCGCTGACACCCAAGGGGTTCTTAGGATCCGGAGGCTGCACGTTTCGGGGTCTTTACCGGCAGGATACTACATATGTAGGCTTCACAATTGGCCTCCGAATATTCTGAAACTCCCATACAAGCATGCGCAGAGACGGACCAAGTGCTGCATCCCAGGACACCGGCTCCTCACTGTGCACGAAAATCGGGCACATGGGCTACGGCGAGGACGGACGATGTCACTATCACTAACTTGTAAAGCTAGGAGCTAGGAGATTCCAGTTGTGGCGGAAGGAGTCGTGGCATTATTGGGAGGGGTGCCTTGGTTCACGCCACATCTCCTGGCCAAAAGGTCCTCGCAGTGCCCACCAGAGCATCACAACCTTCCAACGCCGCAAGTCACCTGCCGAATGTCACAAATTTCGCAGCATTTCGCACCTCAATTTCCCAAGTCTCGAAGTCCTGGGGACGCGAGTTCTCAAGTTCTTTAGGCCCTAGACTCTAGGCTGTTGGCTCGCAGCATGTGCTGTGTGAAACCGGGGCTGTGACGGAACCCCCCGGCACGCAAGGCAAGCGACAGCTGCCTAAGATCACAAGTTGATGCGATGCAGCATCATTCAGTAGCAACGCTGTTCGATGCCACAAGAAAGGTCAGAACACTGCACGCAGGTGGTGGTCACAGCCTAAACCGTTCCTCGGGCCCTGAGCAAGTGAGAACCCTAAACCTTTAAACCGTGCAGGCGTAGGACCCAGGACGGCAGACTCCAATCTCGTTGACATTTTTCACAGAACTCCAGGATATTGGCGAACCGGGCATTGGCTGGAAGTTGTCGGAGAGGCCTCGGACCTTGTCAGACGAGTCGGTTGTTGGCATAGTGTGGTCTAGGGCGGGGGGGGGTGGTGGTTGTAGTGCAGACTACGCCCCGGTCGTTGAACTAATACCTTTTAACGTGCTGCTCCACGGCGATCTTCAGGTTTGCAACCGTCCTCAAAATGTGCCACTTGGGCAAGGACCAACCTACAAGGGGTTTACTATGATTTCGAGCCTGCCATGCTCTTCAGTTGACGTCTTCTGTTTTGGCAGGCCGTGTCAGGATTTTGCCTGCCACTTCCCAGGGTCGAAACTTGCCGTTGTTGCGGTGTCGGGCATGGCAGATGCTTTTTTGGAGTGGTTTGATTTAGCGGTTTCTTGAAGGAGCCGCTGACACAAGCCATCGTAGCTGCGTTGCAACGACAACAGAAATGCTGCAGCATAAGCCTCTGGGTCGAATCATGGCATCAACATCATTGGTAAGGCTTTGCGGCCAAGACTCCCCGAGCCTTCACGCGCCACAAACCGCTGGAAGCCTGGTTTCCTCACGTCCCTGGCCTTCGGGGGGCTGCTCAGAATGGAAGATGTTGCACCTCGGGCTGTCTTCATAAAAAAGGGTTACCATGGGCCCCAATCTCGCAAAGAAGTCCAAAGCCTGAAGCCCAGAAACATGCAGGACGGGCGTCAGTTTGCCACCTGCTCCTACGACCGGTGGCGGTCTCAGCACTTTGTCCAACCCGGTCGGTGCTACATTTCTTTTCGCAGGTCGACCTGGTGTTCGAACCATGGAAACATATTATATAGTGTTACACTTGAGACCGGGTAGAGAGAAGTTTAGAACCCTGACCGATCTTGAAAGTCTCCAAGCTGGAACCCTAAACCCCGAAACTCGGAGCCTTGATGCCCGATGCAGAGGGGCAGGTTGATTTAAGGCCCTTCCCTCAAGTCTAAGACCGTATGCAAGAGACCACGAAAGATATGTATGTGTATATATATATATAAATTAAAGGTACTGGGCGGTCTAAGAGGCATTCCTGTCTTGTGGCATATTTCCTGCATGCTCTAACCACCCATGCCTCAGAGACCTGACTCCCTGCCTGCCTCTCAACATCTGTTGGGGGTTCTCTTGTGAATTCGCAGGCGAGCCCCGGGCTGATTTGCAACTTCCGAGATCAAGTAGATCACCGACAAAAATTCCAGAAAACGTAGGCGACCTTTGACATACAGCCCAACTAATCAGCACGACCGTGAACATAAGGCCACCCATCCGCCCCTCTGCAAAAGCGACGCAAGATATTCTTTGTTACATGACTGTGGCTTTTTGCAATCCTTACAGGGTGCTTCATCTCGCCCTAACCCCCCAAACCCGAGACATTTAACAGCCTTATAAGAAGAAACCCTAAGCCCTTGAAGCACAATCCCCAAAACCCTGAACAGGACCGTGGTCATTTGGGATGCCTCCTCGCCGACTGACTTGCAGGCTGAGCTCCGACGTCCGTCACCGGGTTTCAGAAATTGTATCCAGATCTACTTGGAGGATGAAGAACCGAGAAAGATAGTGAGGCGACAAGCATCTTGATTGGGATTTGCGGAAGGTAATTCTAGCTGTTTTTATCTTACTTCTAGAGCTGCTCTGCTAAGTCCCCTGCTGCTTCAGGCAATGGGTGGGGCATGAGGGTTTTTAGCGCTCAGGGCCTTATGGTAAGGCTTTAGAAGTTAACGTCAGATCTGTGTGCGATTCATTTTAAAGGTTTCAGGACATCATGAGCCCTAGACTACACGATGCTTTAAACCTCACGACGCATGTTGTAAGACGCCCTAACAACAATGGAATTTCCCGAACATCAAGGCACCTTCAGCTCTCGATGTGCAAACTCGCCTTCGGCCCTCTAAGGGTTTACGTAGGGTCGGGGTAGAGTCCAAATCGTTTCTTTGATGGCCTTGTTTCCTTACTATGGGGTCCACCCCAAAAGCTGGCCTCTCGACGGAAGATGCTGTGCGGACATCTCGCGCACATGAACTTAACTTCGTGACTCTATATACTGTAAAGGCTCATAACCGCAGTTAAGATTTCCCCCATTCTCCATGTAACTCTTTCAGTTGGGGTGTTGTGGTTTTGGCTGTTGCAGTTGGGCAGGCGGTGCCACGAAGCCCTTTACCTGATAATGAAAACTCCCGAGCTCTAAGCCCGTGCAGGTTCTGCGAAGGTGGAAAGCACACGGGCCGCCGACTCAAAGGGCAAGACTTTCAGATGGCTTTCAAGCGGGAGCCCACCAAAGACACCTCCGGTACGTATTTGGGGGATTCTCTTAGACTGCTCTGCACGTGAGTCTTTCTCTGCACCGAACAAGTGGCAGCTTTCATCCGAAGTCTTCCTTCAGGAACGGCATCCTCTCCGTTTGCTACGCAGGGAAAGGCGTCATAGCCACCTGCTCCGGTGACAAGGCCCGTAACACCAACAAGGGATGTGCGGTTGAGTCTTGTGTGCCTAAATCGGCTAGCGTCAATAACAAGGTGCCGAAGTGTAAACTCCGCCATAAGGCCCAAGTCCATTCCTTGGTGCTTGAAGATCGTCTTGGTTCGAGGCGATGTGTAGGTTCAAGAACTCTCTCCTCGCAATCCTCACAGCCCGATCCCAAAGTGTGGCCTGACCGGCGAGGGTTCATCTTTTCTTGCTTGCGGAAGCCCCCAGATGATGTCAAGGCCGCCTGAAAAAGTTACAGCCAGACGGAGCCTTGAAGCCATGTCTTTCTCGCAGACCGTGAAGATTTGGGACTGGACCACTGCAGAGATGCTCGGCGAGACGAAGACACGAGGCAAATGGTTGCTGTGTGGGTCCCGGGCTTTGGGACCTCGGTTTGACAGTCTCATAGCGCAGAAACAAGACAGAAAGCCCCGAAGCACTGCCTATTTCAGGTCCATCCCGGCCTTGCAGGAACATTTCGGGGCGTGTTTAGCATTCAGGGCTTTCGGTTAGCGCACCGCAGGTTCGAGGTTTAGGGCTTGGGACGTTTGGCTTCCAGTCTGGGCGCTAACGTCCGTTTGACCGCTGTCGCCCTTTCCGAGACCCGCCCTGTTGTCTTGTGCCCGCGAGAACGACAGCACTGCAAAAAGCGATATTTTTTGCCAACCTACACACCAATACAGTGTTTGCAGTGCCGTCTATCCTGATTCTACAATGCTGTCAGAAGGTCGTAGGTTTTGGTTCTGACCAACAGGCAAAAACCTCCCTGGTGCCTGAGTCATTTCCGTCAAAAAGGGAACCTGCCTTAATCTCCCAGTTGAAGCGGGATCTTCAAACGTTGCTTTTCTGCATGCAGGTTTGTCTAGTTAGAAATGTCCCCCTATCGTCCCTACATAGCTATACTGTCCCGACAGCTTTTCCAGCTGCTGGGGTGCCTAAATTGGATCCTGTAAGCAAAACTCACCTACAGTCCTTGCAAAGACATGTGCTTTGGGGTCTCTCCCAAGTCCACTCCAACTCCATCAAAGAGCTGAGAGATCCCGCAAAGGCATGCGTCGGAAGCCCAAAACCCGAAACCGCCAAGTCCCTACAGGAATCGCAAACGACGCGTGCATGGTGGACGAGGACCGCATCTTCATCGCCGGCGGTGATGCCACGATTCGCATCTACAACTGGAAACAGGCCACGATGCCAACGGTTTAGGATTCAGCAAGGATTATTATATAGGGCCCGCGGACGCGGTTTTGGGCTTTACAATTCAGGGCTTGCGCGCTTTCAGGTTTCAGCGTTTAGGCTTGCATAGGGGTTACGAAACTTTTTATGTAGAATGTCGGGCCATGTTGGGGTTTAGGGGGCCGTCGGGCTCAATCGGTGTGGGACTCAGGCCATAAAGCCCAAACCGATCGTAAAAGTTTGGATCATACCCCAGAGCGCACTGGCACTCTAATGATTCCGGAGTCTAGTCTCTGGACCTGAAGTCTCCAGAGATTCAGAGGACCCAAGGCTAAGTGGCCATGCCAGGACAAGGATGAGAAGCAGTTCTATGCGCACGACATGACCTTGCAGGGATGTGTCGGGGCCTCTGCTCACCGCCGTAGTAGGAGTTGGAAAGGACGAGGCTACGCGGTTCAGCAGGACCTGTTGGGACTTTGTCGTGATTTTGCGTAGGCTTGCGGGATAAAGATTGCCGGGCCTCGGGCACGCGCTCGATCTCAGTCCCCCATCATGGGGATTCCTGAGCGAAGTTCTGAAGAATCCATGCGATGTCCACCGAAATCACTGCACAGCTACACTATCATTCACGACCGAAACCCTTTGTCATGAATGTCATATCGGCTCTGAATCACTCACAGAACTGAATCGCAGGCCTCTCCAACTCGAAATTCGTCTTCTTGCCTACGCTCTGCTACGCCCGCCCCTCCTTTCCGACCTTTGGTAGCCGTGTACAAACTCCATTTGGGGTAGACCCCCGTTTTGACGTAACCACGTGTGAGGATGGCCGGCAACCTGAAGTCTCCGAGTCTTTTAAAGCAGACCGGGGCATGGCACACAGCAGTCATAGCAGTATCACAGCATGACCTTGGGGTCTATAAGGGACTTCTCTTGATAGTTAGACCACCATAGAGGAATGAGCAAGAACTTTCGGAGGCTCCCAAGGTTTTGAGAGCCTCCAGCTACAGGCGCCGGTCTGCAAGTCGAGGAGGGACGATCCGAAGAACTGGACGAAGGCCGGGCAGTCAAAAGAAGCCGCGACAAGCCCTCTTTTCCTTTTTCAATACCTCGAAAGTTTATTCTACTCATCAAGGCCCCTTTTTGGGGGGCGGCTTTATTGCTCGGAATTTTTAGCAATAATTTATCGGAATGAGAATGCCTCGGCGAATCACCGTGGTTCTGCAGGTCGTGCACAGGGTTGTCGCATGTTTGAGACCGGGAAGCATAGATCTTCATTTGCCAGCTCGGAGACATCGGTCTACCATCCGCATCCGTACCCTCTGACCTATAGCACCTTGCCGTGGCCTTTCAATTTGTGTTTATTCGCCCACGACAGCATGACATGAGGGAACAGGATTCATATGTGTATTTACGGATATACATCGGAGAAATGTAAAGAAGGCATTTATACGTTGAGTGTAGGATGCTCTGCGTGTTTGAGATTTTGGAATTGCCGAGGAGGGCAAGTTATGCTGCGAGTTGGCTCGTTGCGCAGGGATGGGGCTGCTGCTCACAGGTTTGGGGCTTGGGATGCTGGGGTTTCCGCAATGGGCTTGGCCCTGACATTCGGGAAGCGTCTGAGAGTGAAGAGAACGTCAGGGCAGATATCCGTTAGTGGATTGCATGTGAGTTTGACTGGGTAGCATCCAGGATACCTCTGCTGCTCCAAAGAGTCTTCTCTGTTCCAAAAATCGTGAAGACATCCGGTGTTCTGAAGCGACAGTTGTGTTAGCAGATGGAGCTGTAGTGCCTGCAGCACCGGCTCTCATGGCCGTCACCATGATACGCCCTAGCCTGCACGTTGGCATGAGAGCCTGTACCCCCTGAAGGGACTCAGCAAGTAATCCTTCTCAATCTAGAACCCCTCAAAAACCGAAGGCCCTTTTCAACAGCATCTGCAATTTCAAGCGTGTAAGCTACCATTGGGGTAAGTTGACTCTGTGAGTCCAAGACGTTTCGTCCCCCCTCTCTCCTTCCGGAGGACCCGATCATGTACTTGAATCTGAAGTATCCCGAGAACGAGGTGCAGGGCTCACGGGGTTTAGGGTTCTGGGGTTTGGGGTTTGAATGATTAGGGATCCCGGGTTGACGGTTTCGGGGTGTAGGGTTTGCGGTTCACAGGTTTGCTGAGGCTTAGGGGGTTTGCGGTTTACGGGTTGAGGATGTGGGGTTAGTTCTGGCTTAGCTTGGACATCCAGATCTGAGCTGAGTGCTTTGGGACTTTGCATTGAGCTTCAGGAGTTTGGCAGGCCTCTATAGAGCTCTAAATTCCATACACCCGTGTGCCGTACAGTCCCCATGAGCCTTACACACCCTTGGAAACTGTAACCGGATGCCTTGTCTATCGCAGACATAAGCATGTTTTCGTCGTCCACACTGGCTCGGACCTTATCCTGAATCTCTCGTTCGCTGTTTGACCAGCCATTTAGTAGTTCATTTACGGACACGAGCTTCACCGACGTAAGTTCAACATCGTGTTAGAGGTTTTTGTGGATAAAAGCCTGTGTTTGGGACGTCCTGACACCTCATTCGGCACTAGGCGCATTAACTACCGATTTTCGGAGAGGGGATGCACGGATCTTTTTAACCTAAGGAGTGTCAGATAGAGGATCTTGATACATTTCCCCATGGCAAGGCAGATAGCAAGGCAGCGCTGGAAACGATGAGGCCGTGACCCTAAAGTTACGCTGGGGTTCTGGAGCTGTAGCCGGGGTCTAGTCTAGGGTTTCCGGCTTAGGAATTCGGGCTTGGGTGAAACCCGAGTAGGTTTGTCTGAATTTCAGGCCAGCTGTGTTAACCATCGGCAACACCCAATTGCATGGCGCCAGCTGAAGTCCGGCTCCAGAGCTTATTTGCGGTTACACCCAGAACTGCGGTAGTCACAGAGCTGTCAGGAAAGTCCTGTACAATGCGCTGCACTACACCTCCCTCGGCTGATGATCGCTGCTCCTCTGAGAGCCTTCCGCCTGTCCCATCTTGGAGGCTCCTGAAGCCCGACGCCCAAGGATAAGACTGCTATGGGGGGCTTAAGAAAAGTAAAGTCTTTGGACGGATACTGGAAACCCAAAACCCCATTCTGAGCATGCCAAAGCACGATGGCGCCGTCGTCCTGAGTGCCGGAATTCAGTCACCCAAAATAAAGTGCCCGCAATAAAGTCTGGTGCACACTATGGGGCTCTTACATCAAGAGCTAACAGTACAGAGAATTGGCTAGATCCCGCCGTGGCGCGGTGCATAGTTGGTGCTCGTGTCCCCGTTAATTAATAAATTTCAATATATTGGCCTCGTGTGTCTGTGGTGGTCTGGTTCCGGCTGGTCGTATTGGTCGTCCTGGTGCTCTGCCACTGCTTTTGGGTCTACGTTCGCAAAGCTTAATGCTAAGAGTTTAGCTATCACAAGCTGACATCAGTGTGAACCGGAGCCGCTGCAGGTTTGACTGTGCCACTTCCTAGCGGCGGGGTGAGGTCTTCCCCCATACGAGGAAGACATAACAATCTTGAAACACTTGCCCACCATCGGGGGAGGGCGAAACAAGAATTCGTAGCAAACAGCATCCACATGGATTGCAGGTTTTGGTCAAGACTTGAAATTGTCAACCAGAATCGTCAGTCACTCACAAGCGACGGTGTGGTATATGGGGTCTGGGGTATGGCCAGGGTATGGCCAGTGGTATATCCGAGGCACAAATTGGGACTTCGTTTTTTGAAGGTTTGCTTCCGAAATCGAGAATTTACATGTGGAATGGCTACTGTATTTTCCTTTTGAAGTGATGCCGATGATGCGTGTCTTGAGCGCGTGCTTCCGAAATCGAGCATCTAGTTGGGGAACGGCTGGTTTTGAAGTGCTCTGATTCTACTGCTGTTTGTTTTGAGCGCCTGCTTCTGAGATCGAGCGTCTACATGGGGAATGGTTGTTGTCGTGCGCTATGATGCCAATGATGTGTGTCTTGCGTGCGCCTTTTGTTCGTAGATTCTTAGATCTCCATCCAAGAGGGCTTGCAACATTCTCGGTAGCTTTGCCTGCACCCTCCAGGTCTGCCCCGAGTATGTACAGAATTTGTGTCTTTGAGCTGGTTCTGACAAAGAGCTGTCAACCGCGAAACGTCTTTGAACCCCAAGCCGTAAAACCCTAAACCTGAGCAGCCGAAGAGTTCGAGTTAGTGGGCCTTCGTATCGCTCGCGCATTGGACGGCTCCTTGCTCGTTCCAGTTTGAGCCTGGGCCCGCCGAGCCACACTCCCCGGTTTCCGTTGGGTCACCTTCCCCGCAGAAACAGAGCCACAACTTCAGTCAGGAAGTGCATTCGAGTGTTGACACAGGGATTCAGGGCTAGTTGCAGCTCCAGAGGCTCAAACGAGGATTGCGGCCCAGCCTTGTACCAACAGCCAACTCGTAGCCCAGGTGTCAAGCCCCAGGCCCAAGGCATCAGACGAAGGTTTTGCATGCAGATGTTTTTAGAAACTTGTGCGGGAGGTCGGTTCCAAGTCTGTGTTTGAGAACATCTCAAGTTGTGTGTTTTGGCACTTCGGTGAGCAGCTGGTAGAAGTACAATTTGTGAGAAGCTCTTGCATCGGAGTCGTCGGTGGCATTCGTGGTCCCACTCTCTCGGACGACTCGTCCGATGGATAAGAGCCATCGACCCCTTCCTCAGCTCCTGAAAATGCCGCGAAGCCTTTGTGGGGGAACGCTACGTCTTTCCAGGCAGCACCTTAGCCTACTAGAAAAAGCACAGAAAAGTAGGTCATGTTTTTTCAGTTCACTTCCATGCAGCTGCTGTTGCTGCTGCTACTGCTACTGTTACTGCTACTGCTACCACCACCACCACCACCACCACCACCACGGCCACCACCACTACTGCCACTGCCACTGCCACTGCCACTGCCACTGCCACTGCCACTGCCACTGCCACCACCACTACTACTACTACTACTACTACGACGACGACGACTACGACTACTACTACGGCTACGACTCGACTACGACTACTACCTACCACTACAGATACTGCCATTGCTCCTGCTACTGCTATTGCTATTGCTGCTGCCGCTGCTACTGCCATTCTTATTTTGTTACTCCTATTACCCCTACTGCTACTGCTATTGCACTACTGCTGCGGCTAGAAGGAGGAGCAGGAGCAGTCATGGTGGTGGTGGTATCAGCAGGCTAGCAGCAGCAGCAGCAGCAGGAGGAGCAGCGGCAGCAGCAGCAGCAGCAGGCTTTTGCGTCTAGGTGAAGCTTCAGGATGGCGGACTGCACCAGGTGGTAGTGGAAAGATCCTATAGTGGCCCGCAGTTTGTCTCAGTAGTCTCATACCAGGGCAAATCATCAATGTATATCTGCAGCAAACCCGCCGACGGGTCAAGGTCGTTTCCGGGATCAACTTGAATTGACACGCATTATTGTACAGATTCATTCCTGCGGGGCATGTCGCCGATCAGGTGTCGCAGCTGTATTTGCCGACGTCGGCTCCCAGGTAGTTTGCTGAGCGGCGATAACTGCGCTGCACAGCAGGGCGAATGAGGGAGCCTTGCTTTTGCCCGAAGCTTCCATCCATGAAGTTGACATATCAGAAAGACATACGCTCCTTGGGCAAGGCACAGTACCTGAAAGCCTCAATACCATATTCTACACCCAAACCCCGCGCTAGAATCGCGATCCGGTCCGGCAGCGACGATGGCTGGCAAGGCAGGTTAGGCTAGATCTGCCATTGTGATCCGTTTGCAGATGTTATGACACGAAGTGTGCAGGGAATTCGCAAAATGGCTTGTTTCAGTATCCCCTGTGGGTGCACAGGATCCTGCGGGTGAGACTCTTCAAGCCACGTCTGATATGTCTTGTTTCATGGATAGGTTATAAGTTATAAGACATCGGGAGCAGTGTACAATGCCCGGAGACGGGAAACAACGATGCAAAGGTTGAGAGCTCTCGAAACTCAGTGGCACCACAGAGCTGAGCCTCCATCTCGGGCAGCCAAGCAGTGTGTGCTTCAGAGGGCTTAAGCTCTCGGCAGGAGTCATAGAGATGGTTTCAGGCCCCCTTAAACGACGGGATGAATGCAGCCCCAAATCCGCACGGCCTATGGCTGTTGACGGCCAGGAGCTGGCCACTACAGATGGCAACAAGGCACGAGAGAAGGAGCCCGGAGCCTAGAAGGCCTTACGAAGCACCGCATCAAGTCCATGCCAAGGGCTCAAAATCCCCTGACTAGTGCATTCAACGTAGTCCCCCAGGGTCAGGTTGCTATGACGAACAGTTTCTGCTGTTTGGAGACCTGACATCAAGCTGAGACCACCTCAGTGATCAGTTTGTTTATGAATGTTATTTCTGATACCTTTGGCCAGGTTTCGCTGTGTTGGGTTTGGGGTTCCGGGTTTTGTCCGGCACCGTCAGCCCTCAGACGGAGGGACACTTGGCTTCTGGTGCCCAGGTTCAGAGCAGATGCTCAGAAGCCACTCGACACGCCGCGGACCCGCGAGGCTGGCCACGAGGGAGTCGAGGTGTTTGCAAACCTGGGGTTGACGGTTTGAGTTTAGGGAGTTTAGGGTGTAGGGGTGGTGACAATGGTTTTGCAAAATCTCGTCTTAGGTTTTCTCCGACGTCTCCGCGTCCTTCGAACCCTCCGTCCGAAGAATCGCAGCGTCCGATGACTGATCTAGGGAACACACCGTCGCCTTTTGTTGAGACACGATCCTAACGCGGTGGCCTGAATCAGTACTTGTAGCAGGACAAAAACTCAAGCATGGGCTGGTAGGGGTGCAACAAACGGGGGCGTAAGCATTCGGGCCCAAATGGGTCCAAACGGTGCCATTTGTAAAACGTTGTAGTTTTCTCGGCAATCTGCACACCTTAATTTTGGCAATTGCCGCGGCCATCAAGGGATTTTCCCCACTC